GCACGGGCTGCCTTCACTGCCTCTGCGTCCTGTTACGGGGTGCAAAGGCACGGGGTGTTGGGGCACTGGGCATCGCAGGCATCAGCGATGTATCAGCTCCATCAGCTTCCAGAAGGTGGCCCAGATGGTGCTGCAAACCATTTGCCACCACATTTATAATGACGCTTCGCTGCCCGCAAGCAATGGACAAGACACATTGCTCCCATCAGCTGGGAAAGGGTTTCATAGAATCACACTATGGTTTAGGTTGGAAAGGACCTTGAAGATCATCCCCCCTGCTATGGGCAGGGACACCTCCCCCCAGCCCAGGTTGCTCCAAGCCCTGTCCAACCTGGCCTTGAACACCTCCAGGGATGGGGCAGCCACAGCTTCTTGGGGCAACCTGCGCCAGGGGCTCACCACCCTCACAGGGAAACATTTCTCCCTAATATCTAATCTAAATCTCCCCTCCTCCAGTGTGAAGCCATTCCCCCTGGTCCTGTCACTACATGACCCTATAAAAAGTCCCTCCCCAGCTCTCCTGGAGCCCCTTTAGGGACTGGAAGGGGCTCTGAGGTCTCCCCAGAGCCTTCTCTTCTCCAGGCTGGACACCCCCAGCTCTCAGCCTGTCCTCATAGGAGATGTGCTCCAGCACTCTGATCATCTTTGTGGCCTCCTCTGGACCTGCTCCAACAGGTTTATGTCCCTCTTGTGCTGAAGACTCCAGAGCTGGACGTAGTGGGGTCTCACCAGAGCAGTGTGTGACCAGAGCAGAGTGTGTGACTGTGCGGTGCGGATCTGCTCACGGGGCAGTGCAGGTTACTGGGGCAATGCGTCCAGGATGCCCAGCACCGGCTGCTCCAGCGTGGTGCTGGAGAACCTTGGCTTGCTCGGTGTTCACCATCCCCTCTGAACCATCACATCTAAGCATTAAAACATGAGCTCCCCGAAAACACATCCAGACACAGCATGGGCAGTTGCTGAAGTTTGCAAATTGTCTTACTGAAGCGCGTCTCAGTGCTGCAGCAGAGCCGTGTCCGGCGGTGGAGCTGGGGAGCGCTCGGCCAGTGGGAAAGGTTCACACGCCCTTTTGGGTTACCTCTCTTACCCCTCGCGCAATCACTGTGAGGCACCAAACAAGGCTTGCTAGTGAAATAAAAATGAATGTTTGTAAAAGACGCTGTGAAACTTGGCAGGACCTTTACTGGGAGAGCTCAGCTCACACCCCTCCATCAGAGGAGGTCCATCCTTCCTGTGCATGTGCTGGGTCAGGAACAGGAGAGGCACCACAGTGCCCCACGTCCCGTCCCGGGCTGTGAAGAGCAGTGGGAGGGGAGCGCGGCACTTGTGCAGCTCTGAGTTTCTCCCATCCTGAGTGCTGTTGGCTTTTTCCAGGAGCTCTCCCTCCTCTGCCTTCGTCCCTGCGCCTCCCCTGGTCCCCACATCTTCTGCTGCTCCCCTGCTATCCCCCACCAAAACACGGTGGGAAGCAGCAGCGTACACACCGTTTTTCAGTGTTCTGCCCCAAATTGCCCTCTCCCGATGGCTGAAGGCTGCCTGGCTGTGCTCAGCCGGGGGCTGGCCAGCATTTCAAGCTCAGCTCATGGCTCTGCCTGAGCCCTAGCACCAGCTGGGACCTTGGGGACCATCCCTCGCCTCCCCCCGGGGTATCCCACCGCTCTGTGGCTGTTGGCCCCGCAGAGGGTTGACCTTAGGGTACGGATGACCAAGAACCCTCTTGTTGCACATCTCCAAGCAGCCCTTGCTCCAGACCTGCCGGTGAACGCTCGGTGTGGGGGTCCACCTGCCCCAAACCCACCCCCCCCCCTCACAGGCAGGTCACTGCCTCCCTCCTTGGGGCGTCACGGTCCCCTGTCCCCGGGGCACAGGCTGCGGCTCAGCGCTGGCAGAGGCTCTGTCCCCGCCACGCTCCGGTCCCCGCGGGTGCAGCGTGTGCCCCGGCTGCAGGATCCAGCGCTCCACCTGCATTGCCAAACCCCACAGGGGACGACAGATCCTGGAGGCTCCTGCAGCCCTGCCGAAGCCAAAAGCCATCTCGTCTCTGCTCGCCATCTCAACAGGTCCCCGCGGTCCAACGCACGGCACACAGGCTTTTCTGTGTCCCCATCCACGAGTCTCCCCATCTCCAAGTGCCCATAAAGGTCCCGTGAGTCTTTCCCTGGGGGAAACACAGGCTATTATTATTATTTTCTTTTACAATACCTGGCCCAAGCTGGCTGGCCAAGCCCTCCTTGAAAAATATTGTATTTAAGCACATCATTCTGGACACAAAAGGTGGCAAGTGCATCTGGGAAACGAGTCTCCGCATTCATCCTTCTCTGGTTTCTCCCCTTCCTTGCATGCCGTCCCCCCGCGCTCTGCTTTCCCGGCTGTCAGCGGACATAAGCTCATACGGAACGAGGTATTCATGCAAAAGGCCTTTGGAAATATTCATTGCTCATCTCTTAACAAGATTACCCCTGAAATCCTCCATTGCTCTGAGGGAGATTTAAAACCTTTCAGGCTCTCGGTAACCATAGCAGCACAGATGTGTTAAAGCGAAGGGGAGACAACTGATGTGAAAAACCACTGGGGATGTACAGACGGGCTGTGTGCGGCGGCAGCGCCGAGGCAGGGGAGCTGCAACGCGCCTCTTTGTGTAAGGCAGCCGAGGGCGGGCTCCTCGCCCCCGCCGCACCACGCGGGACACCTCTGCTCTTCGCAGAAATGGCTCAAAGCGCAGACGGTGACACTGATGTCACCCGCCGGTGGCTCCCGTGGCACCAAGGTCGCCTTCCCAGCCACGCTTTGGGAAACCCTCCATGGCTGGCGTTGCTGCTCGGCGTGTCCCAGAGTGTCCGTCCGCTGGCGGCTCCTTCCCCGCGGGCTGCTGGCGATAACGGGGGCGGTTTAGAGCCAGGATGGGGCGTTTGGAGCCCGGAGTCCCCATTCCCTCCTGCCAGGGGTTTCTCCTTCACCTCAGGCACCATGCCTGCACCTGTAAGAGAGGCGCTGGGTGTTGTGAGGTTGAGCAGATCCATGTTTTGAGGCCCTTTGGAATGAAATACCGGGAAAGCAAGCAGCAGCGAGGGCATCTCACAGGTCCCCGGCACCTCCCAGAGCTTTGCCATCGCCAGCTTGAATGGAACCACAGGAAACCCCTCTCATCTCCTCTCTTGAAAACCCCTCTGTCATTATGTCTCACATACAAGTCACAAACAAGCATTAACCAAATTGTTTTCTAATTTAAAACAAAAAATGTTCTTTGGCTTTAAACAGCTTCCGAAACTGGGGTGAGACTACTTGTCATGCCCTGCTTCCTCACCGTCTTCGGTTCTTCATTTCCATTGATGTTGATGGCACGCCAGGCACCAAAGTGTTATCGCTGCTTCATTCGTGTGCCTAAACCAGGCACCTGCTGCTCATCCACCCCTTCTCCCGCTTTTTGGCCCGCTGAGGTCCCATGGCCGTGCCATCACACCTTCTGCATCCTCAGCTCCTTCCAACTCCTGCGGCTCAGTCCTTGGCATCACCTTTGGGGCTCTCCTCATGGCACATTAAGCCTCTCCACAAAGAGCTTCACATTGGCGAGTGAAGGTGCGTCACCAGATGGTGTAAAAGCCCACCGGGTGCCATGGTGCGCTGGGTATTTTTGGGCACCAGTCCCATTGCCAGTCCTGTTAGGGACCCGACCTTCCCCTTCTCCCAGGGCAGGCTGAGCCGAGGACAGGGCTCTGCTCACCCCGGCAATCTTTTGGCTCTCTTGATAATAAGATCAGACAGGGAAAGCTCTTAACATGGCTAAAATGTAATGATAACTGGGGAATTAAGAAGCTGGAATGATTCTTGTGAAAAGGGCTTTAGAAATCAACAGGATAAATTCAGCCAGAACTGAACGCTGAAACTGGTACTTTGCTTTGGGAAGAAAACCAACTGCATTAAAACTACAAAAACTAGTCCAGAGCTAGAAAAATCCACACACGCACAAATTTAGGATAAAGACTTACTTTAACTTTTGAGCAAGTTCCCTTTGTATTTGCACTTTGCATAAATCAGCTTCTGAAACAACTCTAGCATGAAATTGGGAAGGTGGCGGCTGAGGACGCACACCCAGACGGGGCAAACCCCACCTCTACGTGCAAACGCACTTCCAGAGGCGATGCCCATCCACGTGGAGATGGGGACGGACACGCATCCCACCTCTCTGCCCGATAAACCAACCAACCCTTCTGGGTCACAGTTTTGCTGAAGCCGGGTGATGGCCAGCCCTCCTCCCCCTGACTGCTCAAGGGGATCGCCACGCATCCTTTTCAGGGAGATTTTATTTTCCCCTCAGGTTAAATATTGTGTAAAATCACAGAATAAGTGACAGCTGAACGTGCAGGTTATGACACACGGGTTTCAGGGAGACCTTATTTTTCCCCTCAGGTCAAATATTTCATAAGCTTACGGAAAAGTTGGGCACATTCGCAGCAACACCGTCTGCAAACAAGTCCCCAACCACAAATCAGTGCAAGAACCGCTGCGGGTGAGCGGCCAGCCCCTGCCATGTCTGGCCATGAGCCACCCAACGGCTGGGGGACCCCCACCGAGCTCCCCTGCTGCCAGAGAGCCCACGGCAAGAACCACACGTTAATCTCCGGGGAGGACAAAAGGGCAGGAGGGCTCGCGCAGCGTGACGGCTGCGATGCTGCCGGCTCCCCGGTGCTACCGGCAGCGGCGAGCGATGCAAGCGCAATGTGCAACGTAGCGCGGTGCTCTCCAGGGCTGGAGTGGCTTTCCAGGACTGAGCTCCGCGGATTGGCCCGGAGTACCCCGCTCTCCTCCCTCCCTGACTCCCCCTCCTTCAGCACCCTCAACCCACGGAGATTGGCCAGCCGGGTGCCACATGGCAGAGAGGAACCAGGATAAAAGATGAGCTGGACTTGGGGACTGTAGCGTCCGCGGCAGAAGAGCAAGGAGAAGTTTGCAGGGAGGTGGCACCAAACTTCCCCGACTGCATTGAGCCGGTGCAAGGGAGGACGGACAGACAGACGGACGGACACCAGGGCTGCGGCCACCCAGGGACACCCGTGAGGTGAGCGCCAGCTGCGGAGCACCCCGACCCCTCTGCGCCCAGCCATGTCCCCAGTGGTGAAGGAGAAGAACCACGTGCGGTTGGTCTTCTTGGGTGCTGCCGGCGTGGGCAAGACAGCCCTCATCCGCCGCTTCCTGATGGACACCTTCGAGCCCAAGCACCGGCGCACGGTGGAGGAGCTGCACAGCAAGGAGTACGAGGTGAGCGGGGCGACAGTCAAGGTAGAAATCCTGGACACCAGTGGCAGCTACTCCTTCCCAGCCATGAGGAAGCTCTCAATCCAAAACAGCGATGCCTTCGCCCTGGTCTACGCCGTAGATGACGCCGAGTCCTTTGAGAGCGTCAAGAGCTTGCGGGAGGAGATCCTGGAGGTGAAGGAAGACAAGTTCCCTCCCATCGTGGTGGTGGGCAACAAGGCGGAGAGCGGCGGCGAGCGGCAGGTGCCGGCGGAGGACGCCCTGTCGCTGGTGGAGCTGGACTGGAACAGCCGCTTTGTGGAGACGTCGGCCAAGGACAACGAGAACGGCCTGGAGGT